CTCTAAAGTAATTGGGAGTCACAACAGAGGAAGAAGAATCTAAAACCCAGAAGAACTGGCACCAGTCAACTGGAGCCTACCAAGCTTCAGATTTAACTGTGAAAGTTGGGCAGATTAGGTTTACCTCATTTCCATCAGGTTATTATTTGAAAGTCATCTTTTCAGTCACTTTTACTATCAGGAATTGTCCTTTCTCACTTTATTCTTTAACACATTTCACCACCTAAATACTACTTAGTCCACTTAGTTATTTTTGAATAGTGCCCATCACCCCTATTAAAACAGGGGTGCCAAGATGGCAGGGATTTATGGTTGTTTGTTTACTATTTTGTTCCTAGTGACTAAGCAGAGTCTGGCACACTAAACATCAGTTTAATTTATTAACTAAAGAATAAAGATATGAACATCTTTTGTACCTACTAGGTACCTACAAATGATTTACTTGAAAGTGAATTTATTGAATGAAAAAAATAAATAAATTAAATTCAACAAGTTTCTATGTATTTGTGAAAAGTTCCTTGATAAATTGAAAGTTACAACATTTCTACTAAGGGTTTAACACTGATATCTAAAGCACAAAGCAACGCCTCCCCTGGTGGCACAGCGGTTGAGCGCTGGGCTGTGATCCCCTGCCGCTGGCGAGGGTCCCACATGGCACGCAGACCTCTCCTGCCGCCCGCTGCTCCCCTCAGCAGTGTACTTTGGTCCTTCTGACTGTTCTTCTCCCCACTCTGGCTCTGATGAATTCTCTCGTCCTCCCGCACTTCTGACTGTACCCAGTGCTTGTATAAATAAATAAATAAATCTTTAAAAAAATAAACAAATCTTAAAAAATAGCGCCGGTTCGATCCCCGGCTGCTCCCCGGCCACCGGAGGAGGGTCCCACATGGCGCGCAGACCTCTCCTGCCGCCCGCTGCTCCCCTCAGCAGTGTACTTCGGTCCTTCTGCCTGCTCTGCTCCCCACTCTGGCTCTGGTGAATTCTCTCACCCTCCCGCGCTTCTGACTGTACCCAGTGCATGTATAAACAAAACGAACGAACAAACAAACAAATAAATAAATAAAAACATGCCTCTATTAAAAAAAAAAAATAATAATAATAATAATAATAATAATAAAATAAAGCACAAAGCAAAAACATATTTTCCTAGTTCAACAATACGAAATGGTTTTTATGTCACCAATGGCATTGTAGAGAATAAAGGAAAACAAATACTCAAAATGAATGTCTAAACTGTAAATCTCACCTGTTGATCTGTTTGCAAACAGCAGTTTGAGTACAACTTGATTGTGAGATCACAGTTTCTTATGATATTTATGTTTATTATTTCAAACTCTGCACTCTCCACTGATTTCACTATATCTGCAGTCAGTGGATAAATAATTCATATTATCAATCCTGGAATATGTTTTTGAAGCCTGTTTGGCAAAGTCCCTTCATGTTCTGGTGTAAGCCACCTTAATATCCCTCTAAAATGTTCATGGTTCTAATCATTGAGACCCATGAATGTCGCCTTGCCTGAAAAAACAAAAAAGACCTTGCAGATGTGATTAAAAGATGGGGGTGGGGAATCAGGATTATCTGGATTTATTCTGGATTATCTAGATTAGTCCAATCTAATTGCATGGTTTTTTAGAAGTGGAGACTTTTCTTAGCTGTTTTGGAGAGAAATGACACCGTAAGAGACTTGAAGGTAGAGGGAGGGACCCCAAGAAGTTAGAAGAGGGAAGGGAAGGACTTGTACCCTAGACAGAAGCACAATCCTTGCACTTGATTTTTGCTCAGTAAGACTCATGTCAGGCTTCTGTCCTGCAGAACTGTAAAATAATAAACTTTGTTGTTTCAAGCCACTAAGGTTGTTTTTATTTATTATAAAAGCAAAAGCCATAGAAAACTAATATGTCACCCATTTTGGCCTCAGTTTCCACTACATCCTTCTATGCATTTTATTCTAAAACTATATACTCACTCTTACGAAAGTGAAGTTTCAAGAACTGAGACTTCCATACCTTAACTCACATTTCTTCCTTTATTGGATAGCATGTTTCCACCTTTAAAGTTCTCACCAATCATTCAGGAACCAAGCTGAATCATCTCCACATCCAAAGCCAAATGTAATCAGTCCTCTTCTCTCATTGAGATTTTACACATTGTTGTAGCAATTTACTTTGCCTTATGTGGTATTTATTTTGCCCCTCTCCACTACCAAAGGGCATGGTCTTGGGTTTTATTTTTGTTTTTTTCAACTCCTTATTCGTTATAGCACTGAACTTAGAACCAGACACATAATACCCATTTGACATATTTTCAATGACTTTACAATTACAGAATAAAACAGTCAGCTTATTTCTCTCATCTTTTTAGAAAGATTCACAGGGAATATCTTTACTCATTTGTCATCTGAGCTTGGCAGAGAAACAGTATTAGATGTGTATTAAAGGATAGATGATAAACATCTATTCCCAGGTGTCAGGAAGTAAATTCAGTATGAGATTCTGCAAGTGGCTGGAAATGCTTATAGAAAACACCTGAATGATGCTGAATTTGCTATCAAAAAAGAAAACAAAATACATAATGCAATCAGGCTAAAAAGCTGAATAAGTTAATAGCACAGGTGGTTGTGTGGCATAAATTAAAGAGAAAAGGGCTAGCTTCTAATGTATAATAAAAGGGCATGTATCAGGAACTTTCTTACCAATGAAAATGATAAAAGACACTAAAAAGTAAATATAACCAAAGAGAAGGGAAAAAACACCAAGCAAGCATGGAAATAATTGTTGAACTAATTATTTGCCAAGTTTAAAAAAAAATTCACTGAGCAAATAGAACATTTAACTCTTTTTTTTTTTCATTCAACATATTATTTGTGTGTCTGACATTTATGATCAAATTTGATAATCATTTCTGGGAATATTAATTTAAGTAACACTCCTTGCTTTAGTGTTGTTCACAGAACAATAAGGTTAGAGTGTGATACATATGGAGTAATATCAACATGGTAAAGAGGCTTCTAATTATAATGAGGGAAAAGGCTAGAGTATCTATTGCTTACTCTATCTATGTATATTAGGATTATTTGTGTTATAAATGATAGAGAACTCAAAATAGATTGGGGAAAGTGAAAATTTATAGACTCGTAAGTGCAGAGCTCATGGGTGCAACTAGCATAGCTGGATGTAGGACTCAAATAATATCAAAAGACCCTTTCTTTTCATCTCTGCTTCCTTACAAGGGTTGATTGTGCTTTCTAGCTTCATAAGGAACCAAGATGGCTTGCATTTTTTTTCCGGTTTTATTTCTAATGAAACTGCAAGTACATTCTTTTAAGAATTCCCAGTGAAATGTTATTACATTATATCCACTTATCACTAAGCAAACTGCCCAGGCGAAGGGAATGTGATTCTCTGATTGACCAAATATGAGCAGTGCTCCTGCCCTGATGCAGGAAAGCAATCAACTTTACCTGACATACAGGGACTATAGGAGGGAAATGAGGTTGTGCCAAGATGAAATTTAAGGTTCAACAAGCAGAAGGGAGAACAAAAGCTGAGCAGCCTAATGAAAAATGGATAACCATAAAGTGACCAGATTGGAGAGGAAGAGTAACTGAGGGAAGCAGGGAAAACAATGTCCACAAAAATGTACTTGACACCATCATTTTGAGCTGAATCTTGAATGACAAATAGAGTAAGCTGAGTGACCATGACCAGTCTCCCCCCAGTAATGAAAGGTAGGTTAAAAACTGCTAGGTGAGGTCAGTAGATTAAAGTGAAGTATATTAAATAATGCAGTTATATTTCTATATGGGCTTTCCTTTAAGTGTGGGTGTGGATCAAGGACTTTCTGCATAAATATCATAGAATATACTTATTTAAAAATACAGTCTCATAAGACCTCATATCACTTTAATTTTGAATTCTGGAAGCTAAGCTTTAGAATCTGTACTTCACTAAGACTAAATTGACTCAGAGAATTTTTTTATACACTAAAGTTCAGGAACTACAGCTCTATATCCAAATAATTCGTGTAATTTCTTAGGAGAGCATTGGCACAACATTCACTCATTAAGAAACACATATTTAGTGAGCACTTAATATGTGCCAGGCAGTATTAAAAAAGAAATAGAAAAAAAAGTCTTAAAGTTTGCAGTTAAGTTTACAGTAAAGTAACTATTATAGCGCTAAAGCATCAAAAGTTGCTCAACTTAACCTGCACAGAGAGAAATGAACATAAAATGTATAACATATTACCATTTCTCACCTATTGAAAAGGAAAATATTTAAAATTTCGACTAGCAATTTTGGAGGTGTTATCAGCAAACAAACAACTTATACATTATAGGTGAATGCCCTTCAGAGGACAAGCAGATAATAATTATCCATCTTGCAAATCCATATATTCTTCAACACAGCAATATGACTTTGAAGAGCCACATTTGTATATGTGCAAATGCTATACATAGAAAGTTACTTATTACAGAGATGTCTATAACAGTCTAAGTTCATCCATAAGCACAGATCATATTAGATCATTTCCAATCAACTAAATACAATGCAACTGTAAAACACAAATCAAGGCCCCCTCCTATCATATTGAGTGACAAATGAAGTTGTACAACAATATATATCATGTGCTCCCTTTCATGTAAATAAGAGGGAAATAAGGTCATATGAGCAGCATGTGTTGCCTGTTTTATCATTTTTAATTTACCATTTTATATAGCTCACACATGAATACATTTTGGAAAATGCTGCTTTGTAAAAAAATTATCCTGAATATTTTTAATGTATTTTAAATATTAATGTGCTCTATGAATCACATGTATTTGCTATGCTACCCACCCTGGCAGCTCCTTGTTGTAACCTTATGTAACTCCTATCTTTTTCTGCTTATATCATTGATCATTGCCCAGTTTCATATCAAAATAAGTCCATTTAAAAAATAGTATCACTAAATATAATATAATTTTAAAGATAGCTAAAATTATAAAGTCCTTGTTATTCTCAATATTTTTGTTCACATGCGTTACATGGAACTCTATTTAATCCTTAAAACAGTCTTCTTATGTGTAAGGGGACTGAAGAGTGGGTCAGAAAAATGGATTAACATTGCAGATTTGGCTGTAGACTTACCGCAGACACCGTCCTTTATCCTTACTACCTTCATTCTTATCTCTTCTAAGTTCTCAAGAAATGTGTATTTGTTGCCAAAGTACATGAATAAAGAGTTTGCATTGCAATGGAACAAGTTTAAGATGGTGTCACTTCAGAGTTCTCAGTCCTGGGAAGGCAAATGTAAGCAATTAAAATGCAACCTTTCCTGAGAGGGTTGGTCTGTCAGAAATCTTTTGTCAAAAAGCAAACTGGGTTAAGAACAACAGAGAAATATGGGTTCACATTCTCTAAAGAGTTCCAGGGCAGGTTAGACATAACCAGATCTAGGGGTCACAAATGAGGTCATCAGGACTCCATGTCTTACTCTTCCCCACAGACTGCCCCCGGTTTTATATTCTCTCTATTTCCATCTGCCTCAACTCTATTTTTTCCTATGCTGACTTTATTTTCAGTCTGATTTAACTATACCTAAGAGACCACAAGCCACTCAATAAAATCTAACTTTTCTTTCCTCAGTTCATTAGAGGTGAACTAGATTTTCTCATGGCTTCATAAGGCATTTTATTTTCTCTTTATAACTTGCAGTCACATGTTTGCAGGGGGAAAGTAATATGTCAGTTAATTTCTATAGAGCAGTGCCAGGAAAGGCAGATAAAACAACAAAAGTTGATGTTCCATTTAAGGAATAGGCTATCTTAGTGTAATGCAAGTTTTCACTAAAACAAGGGGGAAAAGAGGCCATTTTTAAAGTAAAGCCTGTTTTTCTTAAGCAAATTTGCTGAAGTCATAATTTTTAAATGTCATACCAGCAGTCTCCCTACTTCATTTCATCTGCTGAGGCCACTGAAAAAGGAAATTGAAATATGTCAGCTACTATTAAAGATGGAAGAGAAATTTCTGTCTTCAATGATGTAGGCTTTGGTTACTAGATCAAAAATTTATCTCTGTTGTTTTTCTTTTTTGTTATGAAAAAAAATAAGTACTAATTTGAAAAACAAATCTGAATAAGAGGGGATAAATAATTCCTTCCATTATCTTAATTTAAAATTATAACAGGGTGGTGCCCAGGAAAAGGGGGAGGCTGCAGGTTCTCTGCCCCATCCAAAGGAGGGTGACAGTGGAGCTGAGCAGGGAGAAGAAGCTGGATAGGAAACTGGAGAAGAAGGCAGGATGGAGAGCAACAAGAAGACCTGGAGGAGTCACATGGAGCAGAGAGATACGTGAAGAAACTGCACTTGCTTCTTTGTCCTGGACTGGTTGGAACAGATGTGGGTGAGAGACCCCGTGGGGAGGTTAACAATGGCAGATTTTATCTTGATTTTGATTTTGCTCTTTTATCCCAGACTTGTCTTATTGTTTCTCACCCTTTTCCATGGGTCCCTGCTAGAAGGTGATTTAGACTTGTGGCTTTAGGGCCTTCCTTTAGGGTCTTGCTTTGGGACCAATCCTATTTGGATGGACTTTTCCCCAGAAGTGAATGGGTAACTTCGGGTGCTTGATTTAGAAACTATATTCTTTGTCTTTTCTCTATTGCGTGCTAATTTTATTAAAGTTCCTTTCCATTAAAGGTTTTTATGTTTTGTCTTGATGCGGTAGATGGCAGAACCTATTTAGACCAGGCAGGTTTGGGGGTTCTGGGTGCCCCTGTAACAAAATGAAGAGAGAAACTATTTAGGTATTAAGATTGGATAGTGAAACCTGGATAATTCCTTCATCGAGATCATAGTGAATCTTCTCTCTTGAAATGAGAACTCCATTGCTCCAACACATTGATCATGAATTCATTTCTATGATTTTTTTTTCATTTTCTTCCCGTGTGTGTGATTAGCATACTACATCAGCAAAGTGTCTCTTTCCCATATCCAGGACAGCGAGAATAGCCTAAGGCAAACATACAAAGTCAGTTAGAAATATCCAAATCTGTATTTCGTGGAGTAGCGCTCAGGGGGACAAAGTCCTTGCACTTTGCTGGGAACTTTCCCAGTTTGAGCTTGGAGGGCCTTGTTCCCCACAAAACCCCTTAATTTGCAGCTAACAATTCCTTATTCTTTAACTGGGTAGCGATTATAGGCAGAAACTAGAAGTACATCACATAAACCTCACATGAATACTTCATGATTACTTAGCTATTCTGAGGGAGTAATTGTTGAAGACTGCACACTGTAGGGCAAAATTTACACTAAATCTTGAAAGCTCCTAAGAGCACAGCAATGCATGTGTCTCTCAAATGTGAGAGACAATTTGCTATGTCAAAATATTTTTAACATTATAAAGAAGACATTTTCATAAAATACACAAAGAAGGAAGTCCAGCTTTAGCAACTTACTGGCTTTTTGGCTAAAATATAAAAATACCATGATAAAAGTTTCCACTGTTCCCCTAGCGTTCCTGCTTTTAAATGCTAAGGGGCAAATATAATGAGATCTCTGATAGCCTTTTTGTCAGAATATAATCTGCTAGTAATGTAACTCAACAGCTATACAACTCTTCTCTGTCAACATGACTTCACATTGTATTATCTAAATCTTGTTATTAGGAAAAAGAACCGATATATTCTTTATGACTCATGCTGCATTTCTTAGTGTGTTTGGCAGACATAATTCTACTTTGACTAGACAGCATAGTAGAAGTGGGTGGAATAAAAGCAAGCTTTTGAGGACTATGGGCAACATGGAGGAGACTGTCCCTGGCACCACATACCAAGGTGCTCCCCCACAGTCTGGGATGTCCTATGTGGTTCAGTGAGGTCATGGACCTGAGGGCTCACTGATAAGAGTATGAATAGAAACCCTGCTTCAGGCAGCTAAGAAAGATGCAAATTCTCCACTGAAGGACTGAGACAGAGGCAAATTGCAAATTGAAGCAAATTGCAAATTGAAGTAACTGGCTCCCTGAGACCTTGCTGGAGAACCCCTGAGTCACCCACACCTGCCTTGCTTCAGGTGATGGTGTGAGCAGGAAGCACAGCGTGCTCACTCAGTGCTGTTGTGTAAAGCCACTGAGACACTGGGGTTTGTGCTACTGACCTGTACAATTACTTGTAGAAAATGTTGAAAACAAAGGTTCTCTATTAAGTCACTCTAAAATTTCCTCTTTGAAAGAAACCTTGATTCTCTATATTACAGAGTATCATGTGGGGCATCTCATAACATAATCAATTCAAGAATAGGTCCTTCAACTGCTTTTCTCCTTAAAGCTATTGTTTGAAACACTATGTGCTCAAAATGGTCAGAAAGCGTTTTCCACCTTGTAGTGCAAATACTATCCTTGTGTGAGACAGAGAGTTAGGAATAGCCACTTCTTTTGTCCATTTTTCCCTAAACTCATCATCTATTCTAACCTTCATGTTTCTGTTCTGTATTACAGGCTACCATGCTGCATTCAAATGAATGCACTGATTATTCATTCAAAAGAAAATAGTAGTAGTAAAACAAAGAACAGGACTTTAATAAAATGTTTTTCCTTGATTATAACTCTATCATGGGTTATATCCTCAATACATCACTGCAGCTCTGATGTTGTAAAATGTAGATTTACAAAACAGGATTAAATTCATGGATGGATCTAGAAGGAATTATGCTCAGTGAAATAAGTCAGAAGGAAAAAGAAAAATATCAGATGATCCCACTTATAGCAGGAATATAGGGGAACCAAATTAAGACATCAGTGTAAAAAAAAAAAAAACAATAACAATACAAAACAATAAAACAAAAACAGACAATTCTAACCCAGAGACATCCTGTAGGACAGGAGGAAGGAGAGGGATCAGAGGGAGGAGCACAGGGGACTGAGGTGATGGTTTATGGGTGTGGTGAAGGAAATTCTGTGGGGACTACACCTGGGGGAGGGGAGAAGCAAATATTGTTTAAAAATGAAAAATGATGTAAAAAATAATTTTTTAAAATTAAAAAAAAATTTTTTTAAAGGGAAAAAAATAAATTTGTGCTCCACTTCTTACCAGCTGTGTGATTTTAGGATAGTTACTTTCCTCAACTTTTTTATTTACAAAATGGGTGCAATGATATCAACCTTATAGCTATTGCAAGAGATGCAAAAGAGATGAGAATGGTGGATATCTGGCACACAGTGAATGCTAAATAAGTATTAAATGTTCGCGAATTCATACAAATTGAAAGCACAAAAGAATTGAAGTGTGCAAATTGTTTATAACTAGAAGAATAAATAAAATGTGATGAACTTTGAGTTTTTATTGCCTTTATTCTGAATATAATTTATTAAACTTTAAGTTTATGGCATTTAAATTAAGTTAATAGTTGTTAAATATATGTTAATAACAAGCAACCCTTGAAAATTTAATAATTATTTCTTGTAAGCTGATATAAGTCAGGTCCATTAAACACTGGATGAGTCTGCTTAAGGGTCCTTAAGTTAACTTTTAGTAAACAGCAAATAGTTTCTTCCATTATGTAAGACTCAATCTTACCAGGGTGCAGGGTCTGCTGCAACAGTCAGGAAAATGAACCGAATCCTAGCACCAAGATGTGTTAGCTCTGGTACCTTAGACATGACTTTCTCCTATCCAAGCCTCAATATCTTCATCTTTCCAATTGAGGGTTGGGAGTAAAAATAATACCTAACTCATAAAATTTTTATAAATCAAAATAAACAACTTGACATGATGCCCAAGACAACATATGAACTCAATAATGTTAGCACCAGCTTCCTGAGCGCTTCTTCATCCTTTTTGATCTTGACAATGTCTAGAGAAAAAGCAAATTAACCAAGGAACTAAATAGTACCCCTTGGGGCCTCATAAATAAAAAGTCCTTGAATTAAGTAACTTCACTCAGATTGTGTCTTAATGTGTTTTTCCTGTATCTTTGTCCTCCAGACAAAAGCAGGTAACTAGAGTTACCTAGAATTGGTGCCACATCATGAAGAATTACTATGTAAGTGAAGGAGCCCTTACATCAAAAGACAACTGTTTCTGAATCTTTTTAAAAGACTAGGCCTTGCATTTGGATCAAAAGGAATGTTGTGTTTGAGGTACAGGTATGTATGGGGAAAAAAAGAATCTTGAATCTACTAACATGTCAAGAGAATTCAGTCAAACTGAGAACATCCTTTATTAATATGTTCCTGATTTGTGCTAAGTTACAGAATAAAACAAGAAGATGACATTTGATGTATAGATATTACTATTAAAGAAAAAATGTAAATTTATGCAACAAGTATATAAAAATGACTATTATTTGAATATTAGGCCCTGTTCTATTTCATCAAAATCTTACTTTAGTCCCTTAGAAGTAATATGAAGTTATGATATTACACATTGATATTTATTGCACCAGCTATTTAAATCTTACTAAGATTTTCTATTTAAAGAAAACCTTACATGGGTGTATTTTAGTTTTAACTGCTGGAATGTGTTTCAAGAATGTAAATATCCTTGGTAGTTGACAATTTTACCTATGGGTTTTGTTTTTACTCTCATCAATATAACCAACTAGATGCCATCAGCACCTTCCACTGCCAAGATGTCTGCAAGCCAGTTGCAGCCATTCAAGTTGCAGAGAGGGCAGTGAGTGAAAAGGACCTTGAAGGTCACCTGAGTTATACAAGTCAAAGAAGATCTTAACAAAGAGGAAAAGTGCAAGAAGGTAAAGGGTATCTGGACTGAGGACAAACTCATAGTAAAAATAAGTCCATGGTGTCCGTGTCCTCAGAGAACAAAGATAGATCTGGGCTCTGGAAAGACTGTCCAGATCTGGGGCCTCCCTGGTGGTGCAAGGCATTAAGCACCACACTATGAAGCAATACGCAGCCTCTGCAGCACGAGTTCTATCCCCGGCCAGCCAGGGAGAAACCCACATGGCGCAGCAGACCTCTCCTCACTACCTGCTGCTCCCCTCAGCAGTGTATTTCAGTAGATCCTCCTGTTCTGTTCCCTGCTCTGTCGCTGGTGAACCCTCTCATCCCCTCCACACTTCTGGTCTGTACCCCAGTTCTTATATGCATAAGAACTTAAAAAAAAAGAATGTCCAGATGTGGGAGGAGAAGACTGCATGGTGCTTAGTTGCTTCATGGTATCCTGGACAGGGAATTGGGATTGAATCCTGAAATCTCTGGGGGCATCTGGGGAATGATATTGTCAGATCTTTGTTTTCGTGTCACATAGACAGAAGCATAGAGCAGGGTCCACAGGGTGAGAGGCCACCTATAGAGAAATGGAGTGGAAAGCTATTTGGAAACTGAAAGGGAAAGTTACTGTGGGATTACAGAAGAGAAAAAGATTTAAGAACATTTCTGTCAACACTGACAGTGCATGAAGATGTATCAGTTGTGGTCATGTGAGGAAACCCAAAATGGGGACTGAACCAAAATGGTGCCGAAGCATGTGGCTGGATGGAGCCTGCAGTATTTGCATGGGGAGCTGCAAGGAGGAGCTGTCTGGGGAGAAGGCTGAACTTAGTGTGATGATCAAGTAGTTTCTATACAATGGTATCTATGAGATGAGGAAATACATACAACAAGACCTGTACCGGACAGGTACCACCAGCATGTTACACATTGAAATGAAGACACTCGGTGCTGCAGTGTGTGAGTATAATTATACACCAGATTTCGAAGTCTTAATACAAAATACTTCATTAATAATTTTTATGAAGATTACAGGTTAAAATGATAATATTTTGGATATAATAGACTAAATAAATATTTTGTTAAAAATAAATTTACCTGCTTCTTTTTATTTTCTAATGTAGTTATAAAGTCTATTATAAATTTACATAGGTGTCTCATATTTCTACTGGACAGAATTAAAGAAATTTTCTTTAATAATATTTTGAGTGAAAACATTCTCCTTGAAAACATAATTTCTATTACTGAACTATAAAAAAAAAAATCTATGAGGTTGATTATATCTCCTTCTGTATGTCTTTGTAAGTAAACTCATACCTCATATACATATTAAATGACAGCATGTTTATGTTACTTTGCGAAAGGACTCTGATTACTAAAGTGAATCATACGAACAAAATCTCTAAGTGTTTCAGAAAAGAGATTACATAAGATCAGAGCAGAGACATCTGGGAAGCAGGTGAGAGGGATAGAAAGCACAGCGGATTTAGAGGCAGAGCTCCAGGGTTCTTCTGCCTCCCCTCTGAGTAACCCCAATGCTGTTAGTAAACAGTGACCTCTGTGATCTCATTGTCCTTAACCGCAAAATAAGGACCTGAGAAGTACCATCTAATCTCTATGAATTGTGGCTAAAATTTTATGAAACATGAAGAAGGTCTTCATTAGGTTTATAAGCATTGATAGCATTTGGCTTTAAAAAGAGATGGAATTCCATAAGGGAGTAAGTGGGTATTTTCAAAGGCACCAACTCCAACATGAGTCAAACTTTTCATGGAATAATAAATGGAGTAGGCATTTTAAGACAGATTTTTGGAGAGAAAGTTTGAAAAAGTATGGAGGTAAACCATAAAGAATTTCCAATGCCAGGGTAAAGAAAGAAAACTTACCCTCTAGCTTGGTGGTTTGGCAATCTCTGGAGTCATTTTTGGTTGTCACAACTAAGGAAGGAAGGGTTTGCTTGTGGTAGCTAAGGAGTAGAGGCCAGAAATGCTGCTAAATATCCTACAGTGCACAACTCCCCCAAAGCAAGAATTATCTGGCCCAAAGTGTCAATAATGCCACAGTTGAGAAACTTGGCTCCAGGGAATAGGGAGCGATGCCAGATTGATGACTCGGTCAGTGGGTTGGCTCTCTTTCTAGTTTCAGCTCTGTGTAATATCTGTGCACTTTAATCTAGAGAGCTGAACAATTTACACTCTGTTCCCCAATCTTGCATAGCCTATGGTTATAAACATGCCTATTTTAAATAAAAATAATCATTACAGTAACAGGAAATTTGCATGTATGATATTCTTTGAGTTAATGCCTTACCTAATTTTACTTAGCCTTGGAAAGAAAACAGCAATTAGCGGGATGGACTAACCTGTTCTGATTAAACAGAATGTTAATTTTGACGTGACCTAGAACTGAACCCTTTTGAAAGTCAGGAATGTGTTTGCACTAATTTGGGATTTTATTTTCAATTTCTCTCTGATACAAGAGATGTCGAAACAGTTAGAGCCAGACACTGTCTTCATTGAATTTCCATCTGGAAGACTAAAATGATAGAAATATTGGAGTAACTCCAAACCAATTTTGCAAATTCAAGAGTGAAGCTGTGGAATGAATTATAGTTTGTAAAAAAGAAAGAAAGAGAGAGAGAGAGAAAGAGAGAGAGAGAGAGAAAGGAAGGAAGGAAGGAAGGAAGGAAGGAAGGAAGGAAGGAAGGAAGGAAGGAAGGAAGGAAGGAAGGAAGGAAGGGAAGGAAGGAAGGAGGGAGGGAGGGAGGGAGGGAGGGAGGGAGGGAGGAGGGAGGGGGAAGGAAGGAAGGAAGGAAGGAAGGAAGGAAGGAAGGAAGGAAGGAAGGAAGGAAAGAGGGAAAGAGAGAAAGAGAGAAAGAGAGAAAGAGAGAAAGAGAGAAAGAGAGAAGAAAGAAAGAAAGAGAGAAGAAAGAAAGAAAGAAAGAAAGAAAGAAGAAAGAAAAGAAGAAAGAAAGAAAGAAAGAAAGAAAGAGAGAAGAAAGAAAGAAAGAAAGAAAGAAAGAAAGAAAGAAAGAAAGAAAGAAAGAAAGAAAGAAAGAAAGAAAGAAAGAAAGAAAGAAAGAAAGAAAGAAAGAAAGAAAGAAAGAAAGAGAAAGAAAGAAAGAAAGAAAGAAAGAAAGAAAGAAAGAAAGAAAGAAAAGAAAGAAAGAAAGAAAGAAAGAAAGAAAGAAAGAAAGAAAGAAAGAAAGAAAGAAAGAATCCTGGAACATAGTAGATTAAATGTAACCTCTCTTCTATTAGGCTATTCTCAAAAAAGGTGTGCCTGGAGCAAATTATCCTATCCTATCAAAGCAGACCCACATCCTGCAGAATATTTGCTTTCCCAAACTAAGCCAATGTATTGTTTTTAAATTTCTAAATTCTCCCACTTCATTCACGCTAAAAAGTAGTAGAAGGATAATTGCATGTGTAGTTATCAAAAAATACACAAAGATCGTACTATACACCACAATCTAGAACTCCTTATTTCCAGCGAGTAGAGGCCACCTGGACACTAGTGGACAAAACGAAATGGAGTCATAAAGCAGAGGAAAGTGATGTCTTGTGGTATTATTCTGTTTTGTGGCATTAAACCTAAACTATACATCAATAACTATAAGATTTTATCCCCAGCCAGACCTCTCTCATACAGTCAATTACCTCACTGGGAAGTCTACTTCAGTGACGACACAATAGCTCAAGTTCACTATGCACAAACCAAACTCTTCATTTCCATCCGCAAACCTGCTCCTCTGATAGCATCAAATTTCAGTGGATGGAGATTCCGTTCTTCCAGTTGTTCAAGTTAAATAAAATATTTTACTGTGTTACCGTAAAAAAAATATATCCAGAAAACAACTTTCTTCTTATCACCTCATTCTTATCCTTTCTACCTAAAGGATAGGTCACACCCAGTTGTTCAGCTAAGCATCTTCCAAGATGTCCAGGATAGGCCTTACAAGATATATTACCGTGGTATATGGATTTCTTTAAGCTAAGGTTAACTGACACCCTGCAGACTTCACTACCCACAAGAATGAAGATTGGGGACATGATCCAGACTTAGGGTTATCTCCCAAAATAACCTTTCTATTGGAGAAACTGATCTATATGGCAGGGCAAACATCCAGTTACAGAAATCTGTTTTTTGTCACGTGAGACCTTCTCTTCTCTTTTTAATGCCCCAAACCCCTATTTCAGTCCATATCTCAAAACATAAACCATTGGTTTGTCCCGTTTACTCCAGGTATTACAGTTATGGAGATTCTCCATTCACATGTAATTAATTTTGTTCTTTTTCTCCTACTACTCTAGTTGAAGATAGTTTGATTGCTTAACCAACCAGAGAAGAACCCATAGGGCCAGGGGTTAATTTCCTCTTTGCCTTGACATACTCTAGGGTGATCCTCTCCTTTATATCACTGCAATTTTTATCTTACTGATCTCTGAGCTTCTACTCTTGCACCCAGAGTCTAATCTCATCAGAATCACCAGAATAATATTTTTAAAACACAAAACAGATATGTTTCTCCAGAAACCATCAATGGTATCCCATTTCACACAGGATAAAAGCCCAAGTCTTTAAAATGATCCACAAAAGCTTGCCTTTGTTTGGAAAAGGCAAGAAAGTAAATATTTTACACTTTGTGGGCCAAATGATCTCCAGCATGTAAATGAATGTAAATGAATGGTTGCTGTTGTGTTACAATAAAACTTTGTTTACAAACCAGGCAGTGGGCATAATTTGGCTACTTAGCCATAGTTTACCTCCCTCTGTGTAATAGTCCCCTTTTCTTCTTTATAATCTCTATAGCACTTAACATCATCTTATGTTCTGTTTATTTACTTGTTTATTTTATGTTTCTCTAATTAGAATATAAACTACACAAGGACAGGTACATTGTCTCTTTTCTTTATGCAGTATCTCCAGTACCTAAAAAGTCCTGGTGTTTAGAAGCCATTCAATTTTTATTTGCTGAATGAATGAACGAGGGAAGATGAGAATGCAGCAATGTAGGAAATCACTGTTCCACTGGCAATGTCACTGCAAATGCACAAAGAAAATTAAAATATTCAGTACACAGTACATGCTGTGACACCCCACCTCATTACTCTGGGCAAATATTTCCCAAGCCACCATCAGGGGAAATTTCTTGATCATGAGGGTAGCTATAATTAGAATAACAGAAAAACTTCGTAATGTTTCTGTAACGCCATGTATTTTATAATCACTCTCAGTATCTATTATTTCATCTTGACAACAGTCATTCGAGGAGTGGGAAAAATTTTTATTATCCACATTTGCTAATTAAAAAGACAAGACAAAGAGGTTAAATAACTTTCTGAGGGTTAGAGAATTAGTGAGTCCCTCACGGAGTGAATCCTAGAACTGAGGTGAAAGGTTGTCTCCATGAAGAAATCATTTTTTCCTGAGGCATTATTTTCTCCTTGTTTATCCAATTCTCAATAGTTAAGATTTTATGTTTCACAATAAAAGGAGAATATATTTTGGGGGAGAAATGAGAAGAACTTTGTCCCCTGAAATATTTTGCGAAGTGGGAGAAAGCACGACAGTTAAATCTACGCACCCCTGAAAACAATAATTCTTTAAGCTTTAATATGAGAATTATTGGGTGCTAAATGACAATTTGCCAGTAAGGATGAAGAATTAGGGCAATATTTACTGGGAAGGTAGTAAAAACTTTAAAAAATAATCAAACTTTTAAACTCCCCTGACCTCTGTTTCTCCAGAGACTTTCCCACTGGGCTTTGGCAAGGGCATTCACGGTCTTGAAAAGTCTTCTGAATGTTCTTCCAGCTTTTTCTTAATCAGGGGCTTGGGGAACCAATGTCTGTTTTCTTAGTGGCAAAGAAAGAGGCAGGGAGATTTCTGAATTCCTATGTTGGAGGTCAATCGTATCCTAAGGGAGAAATGGAAATATGAAGCAAAGCTTTTTTCATCATGACATTCTGATTTATGACATTTGGTGTGCTACGGCTTTGTTTCTTTTGGAGATAGCATCAATGTAAATTTAACACAAATGCTCTCTATCTCCCAAACTAACAACTGAAACTTGTAGTCTCTTAACACCTGAAATGTATTTTACATATAAAAGAAAATTTCAATAGCTTCTGGTTTCGATCTTCAGGATTTTCCCTTGCATTCACTATCTTATAACAACAGAATTAGAAAAGTCTTTATAATAACAAGCCACTAATCAGAAATTTTTAATGGTTCCCTAAAGAATGAACTCCCAGTTGGAAACAGCTCACTGAGCTCAGGACTAAGAAAGAATTTAGAACTTCTCTGAGCTCCAAGGAATAAGACAGGTGATTTGGTCATGGAGGGGTAAGTAGAGGCACAATGTCATAGGTTTTTCATGTCAGAAGCTCTCTCCTATATTTTTGCCCCTCTGTCTCATCACCTCAGCAGGTTTCCTCCTGATGCCTAAAACATTCTGGAGTCATGCTTCCCTTTTCTAAAGTTGTTCTTTGTGGTCTTTCCTAAAAAGAGACACTCTAGTGCTCTATGGGAATCCTTCCCTCTTTGTAATTATGCCAGCCTTTCCTGTCTGCAAACTTCCCTGCATGCTTTGGTCTTTACCATTCAATTTAATGTTTCCTATTACTTAAATATTTCACATATTACAATAGTCCCTCTTTCAACTCCACAGCAAGGTTAAGGATTGAATTTATTTGAATCCTTCAATAACACATTAATATAGTAAAGAATTAAATATAGTTGGTGCATTAAAATGATTGACTTTTCTTTACATATCCTTTGAGTTCTTTGGATTTATAGTTGTACATCATGCAAGATACAGACTTCTTATCCTGATATACAAAGTCCTTTCTGATTGAGAGTTCAGGCTACCACTCCAATACCACTTTGCACTATTCTTAATGCTGCTTCTCTACTGCCATTACCATCACACACACACACACACACACACACACACACACACACACATCCATTAAGTTACAACAGTGGTGAACTGCTGGACATTCTTCAATCTTGCCTTGTTTGTTTCCTATCTTCTTTACATTTCGTAATGTTGCCCCCTTTGTCTGCCTTGTTCTTTCCTCCCTAATTATGAGGACCATCTGTCTCTCCATCCTTGAAAAGTCAGCTCAGCAACAACCACTCTGTGAAGTCTAGTTGATCCCCACTGCTGGCCCCACCCACATGGAGGGGCCGCCACATATCTCATCATTCTTGATTGCTGTTTCTATCATACTATGATAATAAAAGTTCCTTGTCTGTATATCCATCCTTCATACTAGATAACACCATACTTGATGGCCTTATCCTATTCATCATGATTGATAGGAGCACTTAATATTTGTAAAGCATTGACTGAAATCCTAACAGGAATTTCAAAAATTTAACTGCAGGAGCAAGGGTGCCCCACTTTGGGGTATCTAAAAATTATTTAGGTGGGTTAGGTTTGCATATGTTTAAGAGCGTGTATAAGCAAATTTATATCAGTCAGGGTCTCACCAGGAAATAGTAACCACATCACTACTTTGAGTATGAATAAAGTAATATAAAGCCTCATTAATTTACAAAAGGAGGTCAGTTACTAATTAAAAGAGAACTCTTAAGCATTTTAGAATTTGCAGATGCATAAAAGCAACTAATTCTTCAAGACTGAGGAAAAATAGATAATAAAGGGACACCAGACTTAGGAGAAACCTACCCAAGATTGAGATTTATATTTCCTCAGAAGTGTATGGTGTGAGGGTTCAACCAAAACTACCACACATATCACCCTCATCTTATAAGAAGTTCCTGGAAGCAGGCTTTGCTTGAAGAAGTTATGGCCTGAGAATGTGGTTGCAAGTGCTGGACTCTCCACTGAACCAATAAATGGAGGATCAGAATCAGAAGGAAAGCATCACCTTGCAGTGTCCCTTTAGTATTCTCTATTGGCAAATCATAACATTATCCCAGCTGGCAAAATTAAAATGCTTATAGGGTCCAGTTTCATTTTCACAAACTAGGGCAGGGAAAGGTGATTTGGAACTGAAAGACAATAAACTGATAACTAACATAAGCTTCAAAGCAAAATTAAATAAGGAGAAATAATTTTAAATATAATATAAAATTAATATTAAAGAAGCATTGTAAGACATTAGCTCATGATATTTCATTCCTAAAATTATAAATGCTTTCCTGATCTTTTTAATAAACCAACAAAAATTTTAATATAGCACCATACAAAAGTAGTACTGTTTGGGTTCAATTGATTATAGGTTTTTAAGTCTCAGGAGTTAAAACATTCTTTTCTAAGTTCTCTTTTTAAGTTTAATAAATGGGCAGGTTTATGTAACCTGAAATTATTGAGTCTGGAGTATTTGAAATATTATCAGAATTGCCCCAGATTACCTTTCCCAGAATCTGCAACAGAAAATATTTTTCATAGAATAGAATTACTTTTTCCCTCTGCTTTGGCATAGTACAAGATGGAAGGCTGAAAGGCAATAATGAGAAATAGAAAACATATCAATCTGTTTAATTTCTGGCAGATAATCAAAAATAATTTCATTTGGGGCCTCCCTGGTGGTGCAGGCAGTTGAGCACAGCTCTATGAAGCTGTCCGCAGCCTCTGCAGTGCCAGTTCGATCCCCATCAGCCTCGGAGCAACTGACATGGTGAGCAGACCTCTCCTGTCTCGCCTGCTGCTCCCCTCAGCAGTATATTTCATCAGTCTGCCTGTTCTGTTCCCCATTCTGTCTCTGGTGAATCCTCTCACCCTCCCACACATCTGGACTGTACCCCAGCTCTTGTATAAATAAAAAATAAAAATCTTTACTAAAAAAATAATAATAAATACTATTAAAAATAATAATACTAAAAAATAATAACACATTGAAGGAATAAACTAAAAATATGTCATAAGACTATTAGATGTTGGGTACAGAACAAAGGACTATAGAGCCACAACATGGGCTCATATGATTCCTCCGAAATCATACTAACCCATACTGTCCAGTATCTGTGGTCCTTTTCCTAAATTGTTCCATTACAAACATGGTATCATATATTGCTAGTACAGTTATGTATTTTGTATTTCATTTGCAGAATGTATAATCTACAGTAGAAACACAAACTCAATTAAGAAAACAAATATTGCATTCTAGAATTTGAAAATGTGAAGAACAATGAAAAATCTATTGAACTAACAAACTAAGAAAGACTTCTTGCAACTTACATTGAGTACCAAAGTTTCTTAAATGTACATGTAAAAATATTGTCAGACTGATATGTGCTTCTTATAGCCATGATGATAGCTTTAGAGACTTGACAGTCTATGAGGCTGTGGATACTAGCATTGGCATAAAAAATATCAATTTTTGTTTATATTCTTCCATGCAGACTTCTGCAGCAGAACCACAACTATCTGTGGCATGGCTTAATCTGGTTAGGTTTCTCTCCATTTTAAAATAAACACTATACATCCTTAGTGTATACCTTCTACCTTATCTCTCCAACATCTGAAGATTTCTTTTTTTATTTTCCTTGGATGACCTCCAGATACAGACCACTGGTTTTTACTAAGGAATCAGACAGAACCCATTAGAAATGCTTATTTTTTCTGGCAGAGTGGCACCCATGATGCATTGCTTCCTCTCCTAGAGCTAACTAACTGCAGTGCATATGCCACAAGACTTATCTTGAAAAGACAGGTCACTGAAAGAAAGTTGTTCTTTCCCTTTGGGAAGCATCTGGGAATAATATTCCCACATGTCAAATCTGTTAGCTCCTGTCTCACCCACACCAAGACACCTGGTCACCAGATTCACACACCAACTTGTCAAATCTTGTCAGTTCATCAACAGTACAGAGAGTCTTTGGGTTATGGTGGCCCAAGGGTGAGATGTTTACCAGAGAAAATATCACATCCTATTCTTTCTCACTGAACAATAATTATCAGAGAAAGTTGATCAGTCAACCCATGCTATTTTTCTTAGTGTTTGGTAAACACTCATCTGATCCCAAACTACTTTGTTGAGCATCTATTGCAAAAATGAACTCAAATCATATTTCTTAAGTACCAATCAGACTTTCAGGGGCACCCAGATGTGCTCTTCTCTGACAGATACAGGCAGCCTCTACTCATACCTGAGCATGAATATTCTCGCTGTTTTTGATAAGATTAAGGATATGACCTGGGAAGAATTGTTTATATGCTCAGACAATGTGCTGGAGATTTTTTAATGGGGCTCCGGTACTTCAGCTGTTTCCCAAGAATGTATTGTGGTTGAAATTCAACCCAGGCTGCACTCATCAACACATGTTTCTTTGATGAATTATTATTTATATGAACTGACAAAGCAGTGTGATTTTTCCATCAGTCATCAAATCTGTCTTTTAACAGTTGGCAATAAATGTTTATTCTCTTTGGTAAGAATGATTTAAATATGCTTGTAATCTATTATTTGTGATTTTTTTTGTGATGATAGTAACTTCTTTAAAAAAAAATCACATTCAACCATAGTACAGCTTTTCACTGGGTTCAAAACTAGGAAAGTCACCTTTCTGCAATGTTACTACTATGATAAATACTCACCAAGTACTTAATGATGTTATTTGGTCTCCATAGCTACTCAAGATGCAACACACCAAAGGAAGTTTAAGAAGACTTAAGACAAAAAAATATCACACAGCCAATGAAGGAAACAAGATGTAATAAACCACCTTTCAATGACCATGACTATATGGAAAGCCTGTATATGGGAACAATCAGGCAGATGTGACCAAAAAGGCCCCAAGAAAAGATTGAGGAATGCTGCCATACACCCCCAAATTATAACTACTACAATAGCACTGGTCATTATTTTCCAGTTCAAGAACCTATAATGCTTCCCTAATGCAGGCTATTTCTTACAAAATTAAAGAACAAACTCATTAAGCTAA